TTTGTATCTTGTAAACAGCTTATTGAAGGATCCTGTTTTCTTATCCCTTTGTATCTTGTAAACAGCTTATTGAAGGATCCTGTTTTCTGATCCTTTGTGCTACTTTCTGTCTCTTGACTGGTGCATTAAAACCATTTATATTTAGTGTATTTATCATAGGTATGAATTGATTACTGTAATTTTGCTGTGTTTTTTGTTGTGTATGTGATGCCACTTTTTTTGTTCCACATAATTTTCTGCACTGAGTTCATTTTGTTTGCAGATTTCCTTTTCATTTTCTTCATTTCATTTCTGTGTATTAATGTCTACTAAGTCTTTTTGCTTTTGCTTTTTTTTTTTTGGATGTGAAGGTCATTCATTTTCTTTGAGTTTATCCTGTAATTTATTAATTTTTTCCTTATTTAAAAACTATTTGAATTCTATTATCTTGAAATCTATTTGACTTCCTTGCCTTTTGGAAATTCAGTATACTTTTCCCTTTTTCTGCTTTGTCGTTGACTTCATTATAAATTGATTATCTCTGGTTCCCTATGTTTCGGTCTTGTAGGTTTGTTTTACATTAAATACTTATATATCTAGATTGAGTTGTGGGTGGTGTGATCATGCATGTTAATCTCAGGTTGTTGTCTGCTGCTCTTGGTTCTGTTTAAAGAGCATCCTTTAGTATTTTTTGTAAAGATGGTCTCTTATTACAAATTCTTTTCATTTCCGTTTATATGGAATTTCCTAATTTCACCATCATATTTGAGGGATGGATCTTCTGGGTGAATTGGTTGGTAATTTATTTCATTCAGATGCTATCCCATTACCTTCTTATCTGCATGGTTTCTGCTAAGGAATCAGAGCTTAGTCTTATTGGTCCTCCTTTGTAGGTTAACTTTTTGTTTTTCCCAAACTGCTCTCAGGATTCTTGTCTTTGGTTTTGGGAAGTTTGATTATGTTTTGGTGATTTTCTTTTGGGATCTCTCCTGTTTGGGGCTCATCAGGTACTTACATGTTTATCTTCTCATCTTTCAAGATACTAAGGAAGTTTTTTTCCAACAACTCTTTGACAATTTCTTCTGTGATTTTTTCTTGTCTGGAATTCATATCACCCGCAAGTTGTTTCTCTTCATGGTGTCCTACATAACTCTTGGACTTTCTTCTGATTTTTTTCATTCTTTTTTCTGATTGTTCTTCTAGCATACTATTGAGAGATTTATCTTCAATCTCACTAATTTGGGCTTCCATTGCTTCAAATGTACTCCTTTGTCCTTTTAATGTATTGTTCATTTCTGAGATCTTAGTATTAATTTTCTCTATTTCTAATTGCAGAGTTCTGGTGTGGCACTGTGGGCTAATGTTCACCAGCTGCTCCTTGAAAATCCTATATAGGGTCGCTATGAGCCAGAACCTACACAACAGCACTTAACATTTCTAATCGCAAGTTTTGTATTGCTTCAAAATTTGCATTTGTCTGTTTGTTCTTCTAGTGTTTTCCTTCATTCTTCTAAAAGTTTTGTTTGCTCTCCTTTCTTTCCTCAATCTTTCTCTCAATCCTTTGTGGGTACTTAAAAGTCATTATTTTGGATTCTTTTTCAGTTAGTTCTATTACCTTTTCTTCCTCAGCAACTTTTTTTTTTAATCTGCATTTTATCCATTTGTTTGTGTCACTCACTCTTGGTCTTTGTGCAAGCTAAAATTTTCTTGTCTCTGGGACACTGTGGTGTTTTTGTGTTTGTATTGAATTGATGATTGTATGTTGATATAATCTTAGGTTCTCATCAACTATCTCCTGTGGGTGTAGTCAGAGAGTGGAAGCATGTGCACTTCAGTTTAGGGGTGGTTTGGCATTAGGCAAATCTGCAGTAAAAGACCTCTTAAAGTGTTCAGTCAAAGATGTCAGTTTAAGGACTAAGGTGCACCTGACCCAAGTCATGGTATTTTCAATAGCCTCATATGCAGGCGAAAGTTTGACAATGAATAAGGAAGACCATAGAAGAATCAATTCATTTGAATTATGGTGTTGACAAAGAATATTGAAAGTGCCATGGACTGTCACAAGAACAAACAAACAAATTAGTGCTGGAATATGTGGAGCCAGAACACTCCCTACAGACAAGGATGGTGGAATAGTGGTTTGTGTTGATTTGACTTAGCCAGGATTCTTAGTGGCTTGGCAGATGAAATGTAGTTATCCTCATGATGAGAACTAATACTATGCAATCATTTCTATATTGAGGTCTGCTATGAGCAGCCAAACAACTGTAAGGAAGTTTCCTTAGAGGTGTGGGCTCTTTCCAAAATATTACACACTCAGGCAAAGCTTGCTTGATTTCTACTGGGTCTGTATCTTGTATCTATCTCATCCTTTGACCTCTGGTTCTTTGGGTTTGAGCCAGTGGCCTTCTTTATTACCTACTGATGCAGGTAGTCATCATCAGCCTGCCTTCTCACCTTCTGGACCTACCTACCTGCCTGCCTGACCAGTTGACCTTGGTTCATCTGACCTAGACTTTGACTCTCCTATTTCTACAACTGGGTGAGCCATTTCCTTGATATAAACGTATCATCTATCTATCTATCTATCTATCTATCTATCTATCTATCATCTATTCTGGTGTGGCACTGCAGGTTAATACGCTGGATTGCAGTCGGTTTGGCCTGCAAGCGAGTAGTTCAAGCTCTGAACCTCAGAAACCCTATACAGGGTCACTATAAGTCAGAACTGACTTGATGGCACTTAACAACAACAACAACTATATTAAGTTTTATTGGTTTTTAGTCTCTAAAGAACCTAGTCTAAGACAGATGTCAAGACTTCACCTCTCATACTTTGCACGTGTTGTCAGGAGGGACCAGTTCCTGGAGACATACATCATGCTTGGGCAAAGTGAAGGGTCAGCGAGAAAGATGAATGTCCCCAGTGAGATGGGTTGACACAGTGGAAGCAACAATGGGCTCCAGCATGACAACTGTGAGGATGACACAGGTCTAGGCAGTGTTTCTTTCCACTGTGCAGAGAGTCTCCCTGAGTTGGAAATGACTTGATGACTTGATGACACCTAACAACAACATTCTAAAACCTTAGCATAAAGCAAAGTATATTCTTTCACCACATAATTCCCTTTGACTCCAAACTTTGGTCTGTTTTTCAGCACTTGATTTCATTACTATTTCCATCATCCCCACCATCAAAACTTCTATTTATCATTTCTACAAATTACAAGTGGCTTGACACCAAATGGAAATCTGGAACATGATCTATGTTTGTTTCCCATTTCCAGGAGAGAGTGACTCACTGCACTTTGATTACAACACAGTCTAACCCAGAATTTCCACACTCTTCCACATATTTTTGAATTTCCTAAAAATTCCCGTAGCTGGTAAGATGGAAAGCAAGAAAGAAAATTCCCCTTTTGCATTTCCAAAGTAATTCACACATATAACAATTTAAGTTTTTTAGTGAGAGTTTTTCATTGACTGTTAACTTATTTTCTAAAACATTTAGAAACTGCTTTTACTGTAACCTGTGTATTTAGAAATGGATTTCATTACTCATAGCTTGCATGTTCTCATTTGAAGAACAACTAACCCATTGAAATATCACTGTAGCAGCCAGCATTTAGTATGTACAAGCTTTAAGAATATTATTTAGATTTTACAATCTTACGACATGAGTATAATTTAGGGCCCCATTATCTTGTACATAAAACAGATTTATAGAGATTAAACACTTTGCCCTAATTACAGGATAACTGATGAATCGTAGCATTCTAAAGTCAAATACTGTATTGATTTTTAATGAAAGTAGGTGACATTGTTAAGCTGGTTTGTTTTTATACATTTATGGAGATGATTATAAAACATGCTTTTCACTGACTTAAATCTGGACTGGTAACTTCAAGGTTGGTAGTTCAAACCCAACAGCTGCTCTTGGAAATCCTACACAGGGTCACTGTGAGTCAAAAGTGACTCAACAGCATATATATATATATATATATATATATATATATATGTATATATGTATATATATGTATATGTACACACACACATGTACATACACACACAGGAGGGGACTTCAAAAAGTTTGTTGATAACTAGAATGAAAAGATAATGGGATTTTTTCCATGAACTTTTAAAAGTTCCCTTTGTCAATTTTGTCATATGGTGGCTTGCACGTTGCTGTGATGTTGAAAGCTATGTCACCAACATTTTTTCAAATATCAGCAGGGTCACCCATGGTGGACACGTTTCAGCAGAGCTGATAAACGGGTTGACATTTGAGACTGAAGTGTATTGTTTCGAAGTTGTTCGCCCTGTGGACCCACCAGCAGTTACTATCATGGGGACAGACACAGTTAGCTCAGAAAGGCCTCCATGCTGACCACCTTTGTGTTGGCGTGTACGCTTGGGACCAGAAGTTCGGGACTCAGGGCGACGATACACGACTGATGAGGGCTCCGCTAAGAAGGTCGCGCAGCGGTCTATCTCTGGCTGCTCGGATGTCTTCCTGCTCTTGTGACGGACGGAGACACAAAACACTTGAAAGAGCCCCCTTTGAGTGACAGGCTGCCACACAAGCTGCAAAAGGCAGCTTAGCATTTTCAAAAGGGCCGCGGGGCGGGAAATGGCAGCGCCCAGGCCGGCCGGCACGAGCAGCCGGAAGGGGCGTTATCAGTGAAGGGATGATGCAAAAAAACGTCGCGTCGCATGTGACGTAGAACGTAGACGTCGACGGGCTGCGGCTGTCACCCTCCGAGCTAGTTGCAGCCGATTAGCAGGCGCCATGGCGGTCCTCCTGGAGACAACTTTGGGCGACGTGGTCATCGATCTGTACACGGAGGAGCGGCCGCGCGGTGAGGGTTCCCCGTCTTGTCGCGTCACCTGCCCTTAGCTCCCTAGGCCCCAGAACCTTGTGGGTCGAGCGCGTGTCTTTTGGTGTGCGCGGTGGGACTGATTTATAAGGAGGCCGTGCTTATAGAAAAGTTTTTGTGGGGATACTTCACTTACGCATTAGCAGCTCGTCTACGGTTTCTGTGTTGATCAGCTTGTGGTCATTTGGGGACGGTGAGTGAGTGAGTGTGTGTGTGAGAGAGAGAGAGAGAGAGAAAGAATGCACACCAAATACAGCCTGTATTTACACTCTCCATGGAGCCCTGTAGCGTAATGGTTACGAGTCGGGCTGCCAACCTCAAAGTCATCAGTTCAAAACTACCACGGGAGAAAGATGAAGCTTTCTGCTCCCATAAAGATTTACAGCCTCAAAAACTCTATGCAGGGTCGCTACCACGGCACATAACCACCAGGGGTTACAAATACTACTCACCAGTTAAGTTTTGGTGTTGTGACAGTAGCCTGCGTGTGAGGAACGGATTGTTCCGAGCTGTGGAGCCTTCACTGACCTCCTTCAATATAAGTGCCTTGTGCTGAGGGTTTGAATTTCCCTAGGGTATCGTAGACGCAGGAAGCCAGTGGACTGTGGAGTTCTGGAAGGATGCGCCAGTTGCTATGGAAACCAGAAACAGGAGTGATAACTGGTTGGGGTGGAATGCGGAGCACTTGAACACACGCAGTCAGATGAGTGGGAGCTTGGTTTTTACCGTTTGCTTTGCATTTTCTGGAGACAGTCACAACGTTTGCAGGCCTGAGGGTCGAAAGGCATGTGAGGTCTCCTCTTCAAGGTTAGGTCAGATCAGGAGTAGTCATATTGATGGCTGCCTTACTGATGACCAGATACTTTGAAGGGTTTTTTGGTTTTGTTTTTGAAATTGTGGTATACACACACGAGGGGGCTTCAGAAAGTTCGTGGAAAATGGAATGAAAAGAAATGTAATTTTCTACAAGCATTATTACTTACTTTATTTATGAATTGAGTGAAGGTTTACAGAGATCATCAGCTTTACATTCAACAAATCCCACACTTTGTTGTTTGGTCTCAGTGACTGCAATCCCCTCCATGTAACATCACGGATCCCACTTCCTCCTTGGGGTTCCTGTTTCCATCCTGCCCTCCTTCCCATCCCTTCTCCCCTTTGTCCTTAGGAACATGTTGCCCTTTTGATCTTGACTGACTGACCATTCCATGGTGAGCAGACCTTACTAGTGTTGTTGTTGCCTCTCTGTACTTGTCTACTGCTTGGCTGAAAATTGGGTCATAAGGGTGAGTTCTGTCCCAGACCTGAAGGGTAGTCGAAGTTCAGTCTCAGGTTTCTCACACTTTATGATGATTATTATTTTAATCCTAGCTTTTATTCAGCTGGGCTGTACTTATGAACAGAGTTTCACAGAAAAATTCCAAAATCCCTTCCTTTTACTTTTATTGAGAAGGTGAAGTGAATGCAACATGGTGCTGTTGCCTTTAGAAAGCCTTTTGATTCCATCTGTTTGTCCAGCATACAAGGACCATTGTAGACAAACAGTACAGCCATCTTTGCAGAATCAGGCAGGTTTTTCAGGAGCTTTGATCTAGTAAAGAAGTTCTGAGATGTGTTTTCATTACCAGTATTCACAACTGTTTCAAATACTGTCCATTATTGATTGAGTGCATTACCTGATTGATTTGATCAACTACTCTAAATGGACATTTATTAAGTTCCTGAAATGCCATCAAGTATAACATGGTAGGGACACTTCTTTCCCTTCTACTTTAATGAGTTAATTCATGCAGTTGAGGACTACTGCAAAATTTGACTCTAATTCAAATTCCATATTTATCATGTTGTGATTAGTAAGTGCCAACAAGTGAGTTCCAACTCAAAGTGACTCTGAATAGGGTTTCTGAGGAGTGGGTGGTGAGTTCAAACCACTGATCCTGCAGTCTAGTACTTATTCTATAGCACCACACAGGACTCCATATTTTTCTTAGTCTTTCTCATTTTCTGCATTTTCCACAAGCTTTTTGAACCCCCTGGTATATATCAAAACATTTATCAGTTCAACATTTTTTGCTTGTACAATTCAGTGACATGTAGCCATCACCACTATCTGGTTCCAGAATTTGCTATCATCCTTCACAGAAGCTTAATGAAAGATTTAGAAGCAGGATTGTTGATGGTGGCAGTGTGCCATGGAGTCGGTTCCGAGGCTGTAAATCTTTATAGGAGCAGAAAACTTCATCTTTCTCTCATGGAACGGCTGGTAGTTTCAAACTGCTGATCTTGAGGTTAGCAGCCTGACTCATAATCACTACATTACCAGAGCTCCTTTAGAAGCAGGACTAGGGCATGGAAAACTTGCTGTTTTAGGAAGATAACAGACAGCTGTTTAGAGAATGTATCAGATTAGGGAGAAACTGGAGACCAGGAGAGATTGCCCTATTTTCACTATGAATTTGTACACACACATAATGCATGCAAAGTGCCTAGGAAACTAGCCCACAAGGGGGTGTGCAGTTTAGGAAAGAAAGTCATATATCACACACATCATTTGAGTGCAACATAAATATTGTCCTGCCCCGATGGGAGGCAGAGTCTCTCTAAAGGATGAAACAAGTTACCATACTATACAGTAAGTGCCTCCTACCACTGTACTATTAAGGAGCTCTATATGGGTCAGAATTAACTCGATGGCACTTGACAACAACAACAGTAGCATAGTGGTTACGAGTTGGGCTGCTAATCTCACAGTCAGCAGTTTGGAACTACCCGCCAATGGGAGAAAGATGAGCCTTTCTGCTCCCATAAAGATATACAGCCTCAGAAATCCTGTACAGGGTCACTATGAGTTGGAAACGACTCCACGGTGTATAACCACCACCACCATACTGTTAAGGAGCTCACATAGCATCGTGGATTATGAGCTGGGTTGCTAATTACAAGGTCAGTAGTTTGAATCTCCTGACAGTTCCATGGAGAAAGATGAGGCTTTCTGCTCTGAAACCCTGTACAGAGTCGTTATGAGTTGGAATCGACTTGATGGTACACCACCACCACGCTGTCTTTCACACTCAGTGATCCCTCTTACGCAGTTCATATTGTCCCCCAGACCCACGCTGGTCTTCTTCTCATTGTCTGGCTCTACCACATTTCTCTTCTGTCTTGTCCTTCTGGTGAAGTCCTTGATCAGTTTTTACATCAAGCATGATCCTCAGAAGAGTTAGACCGGGTTTCTCCTGTTTTGGGTCAGGTCCTTTTTATAATCACATTTACTTGTTGTGGAATTATTTGCAAATCTTGTCTCCTCTCAAGAAAGCTTACCTTAGTTCCAAGAAAGCTTACCTTGCTTACCAGATACCCGGTCCCTGTCATGGATTATACATTTGAAAAGAGGCTCTGATTCTGTAGGAAGGTGCTATGGGGATGGGAGAGAGACAGATACCGGTTGTACGGAGAAGCAGAATCTTGATTAGTAGGTAGACACAAATAAGCCCCTGCTTACTGTTTGTGTTCATGTAAGTTCCTGAGGGTGGGGACTGCCTCATATTACCTTACTGTCTAGTTTCTAATTTAGTGTTTTGAGTAATTAACATACTTCACAGCTGAATTATGAACTTGTTGAGAGCAGGGGCTGTGTCAGGCACCTAGCAGGTATTCAGAAAATGTGTATTGAATAAGCAGTTGAATTTATATGAAAAAACTTGTGTATGATAGAAGTATGTTTTTTTTGAAAATTCAGCCTCAGAATGTCTCATTTTTCCTAATTTATATAATTGGCACCCATTTTAACATTCTCTGCTAGCTCTTTTTCCATCATAATATCTTCTTTAATTATTTTTCTGTTACAAAACCAATCTGTCAATAAATTATTGTTTATGGTAAGTATTGATTTCCTACATTTTTAGCTCAGTGTCTAAGAAATCCTAAGAAAAAGATGATAAAATGATCACCTAAAATATGTTGCCTCTCTCTAGACTTACTATACTTTATTTTTTAACTGACTTTTAGCCTCTAATCTTTCTTGTTTGTTTAATGGTAATTTTGAGATTAAATTATGCTAATTGTATGTGTGGACTACTGTGGTAAACTTAATTTTTAATTTTTTTCCCAGCCTGCTTGAATTTCCTGAAGTTGTGCAAAATAAAATATTACAATTATTGCCTTATTCACAATGTACAGGTGAGTTGGTGTGTATTAGTTATGTGTTTTCCTATTAAGACCATCTAGCATACTATATGAATTAACAAAATACCCTGTGTTTCATAGAGGGATTTTATTATACAAACTGGTGATCCTACGGGAACTGGCCGTGGAGGAGAATCTGTTTTTGGGTGAGTTTTTTTATTTTTAAGTAAAAAAAGAATTGTCTCTTATAATGTTAATTAGTATACTTCAATCTGCACGTAAAAATATGGTAAAAATATAGATTCCTTTTTCCAGGTTTCCTAAATGTCTGTAACAAACAAGAAGACTGTTTTGAATTATAGTGGCATATCTATAAAGAGATATTTTGTGACCCTGTATATTACTCGAGCCCTGGTGTGGCAAGGTAGGATAAGCATTGGACTGCTAACTGCAAGGTCAACAGTTCAAACCTACCAGCCAATTTTGGAAACCCTATGCAGGGTCGATATGAGTCAGAACTGATTTGATGGCAGACAGCAACAACATATTAGACCTGTACATCTATATTCCATTATGAAAGTATATTTTTTAACTTTATTATATGTGTTTTCAGTCAGCTCTATGGTGATCAAGCAAGTTTTTTTGATGCAGAAAAAGTGCCAAGAATTAAGCACAAGAAGAGAGGCACTGTGTCCATGGTGAACAATGGCAGTGACCAGCACGGATCTCAGGTTAGGAAATGGTTGAGGATATGAGTTAGTCATTACAAAGCAGGACTGGAAGGACCCCATACAATTACATTTAAAAACTATCCATTAAGGAGAAAATTTGTCAGAGATTTTTGTTAAAGAATTGTAAATTTTTTTTCTATATTAAAAACACACACACACACACACACAAAAGCATGACATCTTATTTTTTTTGTTCTTACAAATGTAATGCTTGCTGATTGTGAGAAATTTAGAAAATACAGAAAAATAATGAAGAAGAAAATGACATTACCCACAACCCTACCATCCAGAGATCATTACTATTCATGTTGTGGTCATTTCAATATTTATTACAGAATTTGTAATATGTTGTATTTAGCATGTTTCATTAATTGTCTTGTTTAATTCTCTTACCAACCCACTGGGGCAAGTTCATTTATTTTCCAGTTTACATGTAAAGAGACTGAGCCTTGGTTTGTCCAAGTGTGATGAGCAGTCAGTGGAACATCCTTGTACATACTGATATTTTATATATAAGCTATGTACTTTTAACTTAGTACTAGTGACAAATGCATATGAGTAGGTGCAGTTAATGTATACTTATTTGTATATTTTTTGTTAGTCTGTAACTGATTTCAGTTTGAATAATATATATATATGTATATGTGTGTGTGTTTATCTGTCTTTCTATATAGTTTCTTATAACTACAGGAGACAATCTAGATTACCTTGATGGTGTACATACAGTGTTTGGTGAGGTAACAGAAGGCATGGACATAATTAAGAAAATTAATGAGACCTTTGTTGACAAGGACTTTGTACCTTATCAAGATATCAGGTGTGTTTCTAATTTACTATATGAAGGTATTAGAATGCATTAATACTGTGATAGTTGACATTTAATAATGATTTTTTGGGTAATTTTAAAATGTGAATTACTATAAAACTGTAGACTCCATTTAATAAAAGGGACCTTTTGTATTTTTGTATTGGTGGTATAATTGCTTATGTTGGGAAGAATGAGTACATTAGTTTAGCTTTTAAAAATGCAGAGTATTAGATATAGGGTAAAAGTACTAAATTTAGGCAACTACTATATATTTTAGAGTAATGCAGAGTAATAAATATAGTAACAAGCAATGAAATAAAAACAGTCTCAGTAACTATGAAAGTGTACTCTGGTAATATCCTTCAACAATTAAATTTAAGAAGTGAAGTTTTTATTGGCATTGAAGATACTTAAGACCCTTATTATAATCTGTATAAAAATAAGATATAGATTCTAAAGTAACTTAAATTTTAATACTTGACTTGGATTGATTTTGTAAGGATAAATCATACAGTGATTTTAGATGATCCATTTGATGACCCTCCTGATTTATTAATTCCTGATCGATCACCAGAACCAACAAAGGAGCAACTAGATGTAAGTAGAACCTTCTTATGATTAAATATGCATGCATATTAATGTTTTGTATGAGTTTAGCTTTTTGGTCTTTTAAAACTTGTTTCTTAAGAATATTATCTTGCTTAATTAGTTATACTAGAAAAGGTTAGAGATCTTTTATCACATCCACAGAGATAATCATTTTTCTAGCTATCTTTCACTTTCCTATTTTCCATTCTTCAGTTTTCTTTCTGTTGGAACAGCCTTTGTTCTGGAAGGTTATGAGAACATTTTGGGGAAATGTTTTTCTTATCTCCTAACTCCAGTTAGGAGTATAACTTCATGGTTGAATTAAACTGTCCTGTCTTGAGGTAGTTCTTTTTAACTGGGACTTTCTGTAAAACAAGACAGACTTTTACTTGTTTTTGAGGTATGAATTGCTGCTCTGAGGTTTTCTCAAAATAAATCTTTTATAACTTGGTGTTGCATTTCTAAGATCATTTATCTTCTGCAATCAGCACTTAGTTATATATCAGATAGTTTTGATATATGTTTATTTTGGTTTTATAGTAAGTTAGAAATTCTGTCTGGTGGTTTAAGCTCACCAGCTGCTCCTCAGAAACCCTACACAGGGTCGCTATGCGTTGAAATCGACTCGACAGCACTTCACAACAACAACAAATATTACAGAATTAATTTAAATCAATTTTCACAGATTGTTTCAACTGATGTTTTAACACTTTTGATGGAACTAAGAATAATGCATATCTTCCATGTTTCTCAGATTTTTAATTTTTTAATTATATGTAAAAACTTGTAATTTACAGAGTGGTCGAATAGGAGCAGATGAAGAAATTGATGATTTCAAAGGAAGGTCAGCTGAAGAAGTAGAAGAAATAAAAGCAGAAAAAGAGGCTAAAACACAAGCTATTCTATTAGAAATGGTAAGTTAATTATATTTGCTCAAAGAGTTGTTTTATAATAGTAGTGTTGTTGTTGTTGTCAGGTGCCATCGAGTCG